AAAAAATTTTTATTTATTGATAATAATTTCAAATTCTTAAAATTTTTTTTGAATCACAATAATTAAATACGTATTTATACTTTTGTCAAAATTTTTTTTACGCACAAAATTAATAAAAATGAAGTTAGCTGACATTTCAAAATTTTTAGAAATTTTTTATTGAAGAAATTTCAATTAAACAATTAAAAAAAAAAAATTGTCACATGTAAAAAACTTGAAAATCTACAAGTGCAATTTTTTAGAAATATTTTTTTAGTTGCAATTTAGTTTAAAAAAAAAAAATCAAAAATTTTTAGACGTCTGCTAACTTCAGTGTCATCAAAATTATTGAAAAATGTTTAAAATATTTCGTAATACTCTTTCGAAAGTTACTTTTAATAATATTTAATAGTTCTATTAACATCATTTAAGATTATTTATCTGTACACCTTTAATTTTATCACAATATATAAATAAAATAAACTTGGTGGGTAAGAATGAATATTCATGAACTTATTCATTATTATCATGATCATCCGGTGAATAATAATTATTGATAGCGAAAGTTAATGTTTAACTTGTGTTTAACATTTTCGGTTCATAATAAATTAACGGAAAAATCTCGAGGTACACGAAGATCAACTTAACATATTTTAGGAAGTAGCTGATTATCAGGTTTGAATCTATCTTATACTTAACTAAGTAGTTGAAAAATTAACATTCTTTAATTATATTACTATTATAATTATTAAATATTTTTTTTATCGGCGTAAAAAGGCACACAGGGAGGGCCAGCGATAAATGATGACCAATGCAATAAGAAGCGTCAAACCACTCCGCCCAGTGGTTCCTTTCGTGAATGCCGCGGCCCGTGTCCCAACTCTTTGGCTATCTCGTCTCGAGTTTTATTTTCTTTTTCATCAGATATACACTATACCTACATATACATACATCACCAACCAACCAACCAACCAACCAACCATATATACGTATACATGTACGTAAGTAAGCACGAGCCGCATTATATATAGCATAGCGATCGTAGTCGCGAGTCCTGACAAAGTAAAGGAAAAGAAGAGAATAAGAAGCAGAGAAAAGAAGAAAAAAAGGATAAATAAAAAGCGTAAGGAATGAAAAGGAGAAATAACTACTTGCCTGTAGAATTGGAGGTGAGCGTGAACATATTCCCTGCTGTTTGATTGTCAAGTGGGAGCTTTTGCAATTCCTTTCGGCACTTGCGGGTCCGATAACACCTGCACCAATCTGCGTTATACCATCAGCACCTCCCGTACCGCTTTCAAATCCATTAAGCCGAGGTTCTAGACCCAAATACCTAAAAAACAAAAATTTTATTATTAATAAAAGTTATCTTTTAAATTTCACGCTTGTTTCGAAATATTCAGTTTTCTTAGGTTCAAAAATTAAACTGAGGATTCTTCATTCAAGAATTTTACCCTTTAAATTGTTCAGTTACTACCGCTAGGTTTATATTCAGCAATATTCATGCACCACTTGAGTTCAAATATTTGAATCTCACTACAGAAATTTAAATTGACATGTTCAGAGTAGCGGAGTCTCGAAAATTGTTTGAGGTATTACAGCTATTTTCTCAATGCACACAAGATCTTGGGATTTAAAGAAAGAAATGTTAGAGACTGATAATTTAAATTGATATTGCTGTATAAATTATAAAAAAAAAAAAAAAAAAAACCGAAATAAAAGTGATTTTTAAATATTTACCAACATACCATAATTATATCGAAAAAAAAGTCATTTCAAAAATTAACCTGAGGATCAAAAATTTTTAATTCTTGAACATAGAGAGCAGAAAATTCTTCATTCAAGAATTTTACTCTTAAATAAAGCACTTTATTGTTTACAAACAAGATACATATAGACTTTTTCCAAGTATTTCTTTCCCTTGGATTAAGATAAGCGGTAACATTGGTTTAAGATAATTATATAAATACCGACTTGTGAAAAATACACCGCTAAAACCAAAAAATTCTCAGATTTATGTATTATCGATGTAAAAGTCTTGAATATTTTTTTATAATTTGTTCAAGTAAGAATTTCATTCTTTTAAATGGAGTTGAATTTTTTTTCGCTGAAGCTGATAAAGTTTTTAAATTAAAAAATAGTTGGTGTTAACTAAAAAATATTAAGTTCTTACAAAGAAAAATTATTTTTAGTTGAACAGAGTTGGTCTTGGTTGGCAAATTTAATTATATCGAGTGACAATATTAAACTCTCGATCGGAGATCTACAAAGATCTTAAAAACCAAGAGAATAAATTCTTCAAGCATAATAACCGGTTTTTTTCATAATAATTTTCTTGTTTCACCATCATTTTTTTCTAATCAGATTAGTTTTTCTATCTGTGTACCTATTGAAGTGAAACGAAGAAACATGCTCGTCAAATGCTTGTCAATTGACCAACTAAAAAAAAAATTAGCAGTCATTTTTTGAAATAAATCATTTCAGAATTGACCAAAAAATTTTTGATGGTCATTTCGCATCTAATTTGTCGTACAAGCCAAGTTTGTTTTTGAATTTGTTAATTTTTGAAAAAATTTTGATGCCTTTACAATTTCTATTATGTCAACACTTGAAATATTTTTTTTTAATTTCAAAATTTTCCAGGAAGGCTTTTTTTAAAAGATACTGAAAAATATGAAAAATTGAGAAAATCAAATATAAAAATCCTGGAAACTGTCCGATGTGGCGCGAAATGCTTCATATAATCGCAATTAAAAAGAATAAGTTAAGAATGAAGGTAGAGAGATTCTCTAGTACACTATAAAGCTACTATATAATTAGAGCAGGCGTTGACGTCAATTTACCAACTCAAAAAAAATTATTAGCAGTCATTTTTTGAATTAAATCATTTTAGAATTGACTAAAAAATTTTTTATGGTAATTTCCCATCTAATTTGTTGTACAAGCAAAGTTTGTTTTTGAACTTTTCAATTTTTATTTTAATATCTCAAATATCGTGCGTTCTAATTAGCAAATTGTCTAACTCAATTTAATATCTAATAGAGGTATAGTCATAATATTTATGACATTAAAGTTAGCTGTCACTTGACAATTTTTTAATTTTTTTTAACAAAAAGATTTTTTCTAAAAAATTATTTTTAAAAAATTGCATTTTTTATTTTTTTAAAGTTCTAAATGTCAATTTTTTTTTTCTTATTTTTTTTGGCCATAATTTATTTGTTATAAAATTTTTGAAATTATTAAATATATGCTACATTAATTTTCATATAATATTTCGGTTTGGATTATTCAAATAATTTATCATTATACATTGGACTATTGCTACATCAAAATTAAAAAAATCATCCTCTAAAAAAATAAGGAGTTAGACCAATTGCCAATTAGACCGTCAATATTAATTAATTGAATTAATTTAATATATTATCTCTAAACTAATATTTATAAAAAATAAACTAATTTAATGATAATAATTAAATAGAGATTATTCATGAAACAAACAGTCAATTAAAAATCTAAATAAATAATTTTTGCAATGTGGAACTAATACAATGATATAAATACTATAAAACATTATTTACTTTCTGGCGTACGCAACCAGAAAAAGAGAAGTTAAAATTTCGTGTTATTTCCAGGACGCGAAAGTTGTTGGGATTGGGATCTTCAGAGTCATGCAATTCTTTAAAAAAATATTGTTTGATGTTGGCCGCACCCGGACCGGAATTTCCTCCTCCATCATAAGCGCCTCCTTCATCATAAAACCGGATGTCGCACGATTGATGGAGATCAAAGAACCTGCGTTTAGCCCTTCTATCGCGCCTTTTCGACTTCTCCGGAAACTATAAACACCAAGACCAAGAAAAACGTTAAATAGCAGCATCGAACGATAATAACCATAAAAAAATGATGACAATTTTTTATTTAATCTTTATAAATATAAATAAACATCTCGTAATATCCCAAAAAGATAAATATAATTAACCAGATAATATTCTTCTGTAAATTGAGTTTCTTTTTTCTGCTGAGATAGAATTACCCTGATATGCGGCAAACTTCCCTCCCAACAAAGTGCTCCACGATATAAACACAAGAAGAACAAAAAAGCTAATCAGACTTTATTGAAGACTATATAGAACAGTGTCTGCGGGAGGGACTCAATGACCCATCAGCCCATGTACCTGCTCATGTATATATCCTGTCTCCAATCCGCCCTTGTCTTCGTTCTTTGCTCCGGGTCTGGAGCTCTCATCTACTTATCCTCCTCTATTTACATACTTTATATTTAATACGAGATATATTTAAAAAAAAAAAAGGAAATTGAACAAAACCGAGACTTAAACTTATATAACAAAAGATATTATTGCATAAAGTTTAAAAGAATATAAGTAATCGAAGACATTATTTACCTTGAGAATAAAATTCTACGTAAATTACCATCGTCATCAGTTTTATTCTTTTTATTATTATTTTTGCTCCGCTCCGCTCTTATTTCGCTTTGTTCCAGCAAGAATAAATCTTTTCTCGAAAACGGAAAGTTTAATCTGGAATCTGATGTCATTCAATGGTACTCAATGAACAGTTTATCGTTGCACATTGCACATTCGAAGCTCATATACTTACTCTGTACTGTTAATACTCGGTATCGGGTAAAGTTAAGTCAACTCGCGTGTTTAGTGGCCTGTGGCGACCGGCTTCAGACGATGAGAAGGTTTGTATCTTCTCGGAAGATAAGAAGAGTATACATATATACATCCAAGTCGCTCTTTGTTTGACTGAGAGCACACATGTCTTTGCTACTTTGATCACACGAGTATGATAATTGCCATTGGCCTAACGCACCAGTTTCTTTTTTTATTTGTTATTAAAACACTTGGAAATTAGTATAATACTCGAGTTCTTAGCGTATCTTCACGCTTATGGCTATATCTTTTGATTTTGATTCACTGTATGTTTTATAAATAATTAATTTTGCAGATATTATTCCTATACGCTTTATTAAATTGAGGGTATAGTAAAATTTTTATTTAAAATTTCATACGATCATAGTTTAAATTCGTTGTTAAAATAATAAAATATATAAAAATTCTTTTTGAAAATAAAATTAAAAAAAAATTCTTGTACAATTTTTTTGTATCTTCAGTCTTTTATTACATAAAAAAATTTGTTTCTTAATTTTCTCGAATTAAAAAAAAACTAGCAACCTTGCAGTCACTACGTGACTGCCGTGACTTGTGAAATATAAATAAATGAAATTTTCTTTTATTAAATAATGATTTTTGTTGAATTGCACTGTACTTTTTTAACTATTGACATTTTTAAAGATATAAGCTCATCCCGATGTTACACTCATCAAGAGCTTTCATTTGAGTACCCATATGCATTTTTGATATATTTTTCATATATATACATATATATATATATAAATATATGAAATATATGAAAAATTGATGTGGGTACTCAAATGAAAGGTCTCGATGAGTGTAATGTCAGGATGAGCTTATATCTTTAAGAATGTCAATAGTTCATAAGATACAAGGTCGTTTCTTAATGATTTATGTTAAATTGCACTGTAATTTCGTAACTATTGACATTTTTAAAGATATAAGCTCATTCTGATATTACACTCATTAAAAGCTTTCATTTGAGTACCCACATGCATTTTTTATATATTTTTCATATATATACATATATATAAATATATAAAATATATGAAAAATTGATGTGGGTACTCAAATGAAAGGTCTCGATGAGTGTAATATTGGGATGAGCTTATATCTTTAAAAATTTCAATAGTTCACGAGATACAAGGTCATTTCTTAATTATGTAGTTAGAGATGTAGCATTTTCAAATGCAGTTATATATAAATACTTATCATCATAAACATATTACCGATTGACGTAAACTAGAAGTTTCACCGGCAAGCAATGGTAACTGTCCAGGTATTGAATTTATTGTATTAGCGTTCCTCCACGTACTATGTAAATCTCGATCTGGAACTCCGAATAATGCGTATCCAAAGCCATTTAGCACAACTCGATACTAAAAGAATTTCAAAAATTAATTACAATTAAATTTTTAAAAACTCAGAAGTTAACTTTCTGATATCATAGCAATTAAAATGACCAACGTAGCAAAAATGACTTACTTTGGGTAACTTGCAAGCTTGCAAAGTTATCAGTAAAGAGGTTCGAAAGTTTTCCATACTGTCGACACTCAGCCGCATCACCAGATCATCACCCAGTCCGACAGTCAGCACAAAATCTTCAGTAACTCGAGCAGCTTCTCTTGAGAGCAAACCAGCTGTAATTAAATAAATATTACTACCTATTCTTCTGATAATTATATTGCGCTTTTTTTTTGCCATTATTTATTTGTTACAAAATTTATTAAATATCTACTAAATAAATTGATTTTTATAAATGACATTTAAGTTAGTAGTCATTTGACAATATTTTAATTTTCTTTAATAAACAAATTTGTCCCAAAAAATTATTTAATAAAAATTGCAATTTTTTATTTTTTTAACATTTCTATAAGTCAATTTTTTTGCCATAATTTATTTGTTTCAAAAATTATTAAAATTTACAAATAAATATCTGCTAAATAAATTAATTTTTAAAAATGACATTAAAGTTAGCAATCACTTGACAATTATTTAATTTTTTTTAACAATCAAATTTGTTCCAAAAAATTGTCTAAGAAAAAATTGCATTAAAAAATTTTTTTTTGAATTTCTAAATATCTACTTTTTTTTCTCATAATTTATTTACTATAAAATTTAATAAATATATGCTAAATAAATTAATTCTAATAAATGACATTAAAATTAGCAATCACTTGATAATTTTTTTTATCAAAAAAATTTGTTCCAAAAATTGCAATTTTAATTTTTTTAATTTTTTTGCCATAATTTATTTATTAAAAAAAATTACTAAAATTTAATAAATATCTTAATAAATAAATTTTCATAAATGACATTAAAGTAACAAATTTGTTTAAAAAAAAATATCATTTTTGATTTTTTTGAATCTCTACATGTCAATTTTTTTCACCATAATTTATTTAAAAAAAAAAAATGATTAAACTCTAATAAATAACTGTAAAATAAATTTAATAATTGATATTTAATGATAATAAAATTAACCTGGAGTTGCAAAAGCGTAAACTTTTAAATGGGGATAACGTGGCCGTATAAGTAACGCCAGAAGAACAGCAAGGCCAGCACCGAGACTGTGACCTATTTAAAAGGCAAATAAAAATATATTCTTAATTTAAAAGAGCTCATTTATGCTATATATTTAGTAATAATTCATGATTACAACATATATAAAATTGATTACCTGTTACAGTCAATCCGTAATTGGGGTATGTCGCAAATGCTTTCTCGAGTATCTTATACTGGTCCAGTTGCTTCAGAAGAACTTTCGCGCCTATAATCATTCCACGGTGAGCCTAAAATAATTAAAAATTTATTTTTTTTATTTTCATTTTTAAATATAATTATTTAACAAAAAAAAAAAAAAAAAAAAAAAAAAAAATATTACCATGCTACCGGGAGGCAAACCCTCGGGCTCGAAAGAATCCGAGGCAGCGGCAATGTCAGTAATAAGATCCCTCAATGACAATGAACCTCTGATTACTATCACGACGCTTGCGGTTTTGTGATCAGCAACCACGCAGAATGGAATCTTGGAGACAAAGAAATAAATAAATAATTGTTATGATTAACGTTGATTATTGGGCGAGGATAGAGGAAGTAAAGAGGAACTCACTTCGCACAAGTGGTTGCGAAAAGATGCGAACAGAATGTCGTCTTGGGACAATTGCGAAAGATATTTAACGCCAGCGAGACTACAGAGGCAGCAATTGTCGTCGAGAACAATCGGCTGGTGTCTTCTTAAGCAACTACAGCAGCTCATGTGACGGATCAATTTGCAGCAACCTGTACACGCATTCTGGTACAAGACAAATAACCAGCCGTAAGAGGCTATTGATAACTTCATGTAGTGATGCGCCCATTCTAATGACATCCATGATGGTGTGTTGGTGAATATTATACGTGAATCTGAAATTTATTTTTTTTATTAATTTTTTTAAAAAATAAATTATGGCAAAAAAATTGACTTAAAAAATGCAATTTTTTATTTTTTTTTTTATGAAAATTTATGTAGTATATATTTAATAATTTTAAGAATTTTATGAGAAATAAATTATGGCAAAAAAATTGACATGTAGAAATTTAAAAATGTAATTTTTTTTTTTACTAAAATTTTTGGAACAAATTTTTTTGTTTAATTACATTAAAAAATGATCAAGTGACACTGTTAACTTTAATGTTATAAAAAAAAATTTTTTTTAAATTGACACTTAGAAATTTTAAAAAATAAAAAATGAAATTGTTTTTTAAATAATTTTTCGGAATTTCATTTAAATAAAATGAAAAAATTGTCAAGTAATTGCTGACTTTAATGTTATGAAGTGTTTGTTGAAAATTAAAATATTTTAATTCTTTCATTCCAATTTCATAATTTGTTTTTTAATTACAATATCATCCGTGAATCTAAAATTTATTGTTTTTAAGTTAAGTTATTTAGAATTATTTTATAAATATTTGAAATTAAAGAATTAAAAGACCCAGTTATTGACACTTGCAATTTTATTTTAATTAAAAAAAAAAATCAACTTTGATAATAAATATAACTAGCAACCAGCAGTCACTACGTGACTGCCTAGAATTGTGAAAGATAATATGAAAAATTGATGTGGTTACTCAAATGAAAGGTCTCGATGAGTTTAACATCGGGATGAGCTTATATCTTTAAAAATGTCAATTGTTCACAAGATACAATGTAACTTCTTAATTATTGACATTTTTCAAGATATAAACTCATTTTGATGTTACACTCATCGAGACCTTTCATTTAAGTACCCACATGGCATTTTTCATATATTTTATATATATGGTATTTGTGAAATATATAAGTATATAAAATATATGAAATATTGATGTGGGTACTCAAATGAAAGGTCTTGATGAGTATAGCATCGGAATGAGCTTATATCTTTAAAAATGTCAATTTTTCACAAGACACAATGTAACTTTTTAATTATTGAGATTTTTTAAAATATAAACTTATTTCGATGTAAAACTCACCGAGACTTTTCATTTGAGTACCCACATGGTATTTTTTATATATTTTATATATATTATATTTGTGAAATATATAAATATGTAAAATATATGAAAAGCTGATGTGGGTACTCAAATGAAAGGTCTTGATGAGTATAACATGAGCTTATATTTTTAAAAATGTCAATCACTCACAAGATACAAGGTCATGCATTTCTTAATTATGTATCTAGAGATAGAGCAGCTTAAATATTTATCATAATAAATTTACTATTGTTCAAAATAGTCTAAAACCTTCAAAAAGCATAAAAGCAAATCAAGACCTTTGCAATGACACTAAATTTTACTGAAAAAAACCGCTTTTATCCGACTATCATGTAGACAAAATTTTTTTTATTCTCTTGATAATAAAGATTACTAAATTATAAATTTTAAGAAAATTTATTTTTCTAATAATTAGAATAAAATTGCAAGTATCAAACAACTAGACGAGTGTCAATAACTGGATCTTCTACCTTAGATTCTGTAAAATTTTAAAAATATGTTTATGTTATGTTTTTCATTGGCACCGAGTATTTTTTTCTCATACGGCTGTTGGGTGTTGTGAGGTGGGTAGTTTGTGTTGGTTAAGTACTTGCCTTAAACCTAGGCAACGCTGGAGCGAACCTCAAGGAATCGAAAGATATCAGCATGTGAAAATGTGAAAAATCTTTCGACTCGCCGGGGATCGAACCCGCGCCTTGCCACATGAATTGTACGAACGGACCAACGCATTGAACCGCTCGGCCAACATCGAGGCCATTTAAAAAATATAGTCATTTACCAATTGTATACTCAGGACGATCCATAACTTTTAAGCGACGCAATTCAATCGTTTCGCGTTTCTGGCGTATCCGAAGTAAAATACACCCTGCTACGACATCTGACGGAACCAAATCAGTTCCTCTGAACAGCGCACTCAAGAGTCCTGGAACGAAAACAAGTTATTAAGATCAAATTATTGAAGAAAATAATTTATAATTTGTAAATAATAATTAATAAAAAAAAAATAATAATTTGAATTAAAATAATGAAGTAGAGAATTAGTCGAATGCAGATGGATAGGAACTGTCGGACTAGAGAGAACATCATGTACCTATGTCTCACCAGCAACATGTTGGAATGTCTCGGTGGCACTCTCGTCTCTGTGCATCCACCAAAAGAACTTGAACCTTCGGAGCCAGATCCGAGACACCTTGCCATGCTCTACTGAGTCCTCGATAACTTTGTCGGAGTAGGTGAGAGACCCCAGGGGGTCAAACATCAGAGCAAGACCCAGAAGCGCCAGTCCTATCAACACCCAGTCGAAGAAAACCAGGGCTTCGATTACTGCTATGGTGTAGTGCTCGTTTGTACACTCTACGTAGTCGCCCAGGACCCACATTGTTCCCAGTATGTTCCAGGCTATTTCTGGAAGTAGCAGCAGCACCCTACAATTAATTTCGTTGATTAAAAAATTTTATTTTTAAATTTTATCGGCAATTTTAAGAATCTTTTCAATTAATAAATAATTTAAATTGACAACTATAATTAGTTTTAATTGAACTTTTTTAATATCTATTGAATGACATTGATTAATTATCACTGTGATAGCTCGCTCTTAATTTTAATTTTGAATAAAAATTATAAATTATTAAATTTTTAATTTTAAATTATATATATGTTATTAAAAAAATAAGCAAACCCATAGTCAATTTATGATGATAAGTATTTAGGCTGAATTAAAAATGATCTATCTGTAGATACATAATTAAGAAATAACCTTGTATCTTGTGAATTATTGACATTTTTAAAGATATAAGCTCATCCCGATGTTACACTCATCGATACCTTTCATTTGAGTACCCACATCAATTTTTCATATATTTTATATATTTATATATATATATTATATATATGTATATATGAAATATATATCAAAAATGCATGTGGGTACTCAAATGAAGGCTCTTGATGAGTGTAACATCGAAATGAGTTTATATCTTAAAAATTGTAAATAATTAAAAAATTACATTGTATCTTGTCAACTAATGATATTTTTAAAGATATAAGCACATCCCGATGGTATACTCATCAAGACCTTTCATTTGAGTACCCACATCAATTTTTTATATATTTTATATATTTTATATATTTATATATGTTATATATATATATATATATATATATGTATGTATCAAAAATATATCAAAAATGCATGGGGGTACTCAAATGAAAGGTCTCGATGATTGTAACATCGGGATGAGCTTATATCTTTAAAAGCGTGGCTCATCTTAAAATAGTCTAAATTTTTTGTTAAGATTTTTTTAAGACTAATTTAAGATAATTTTGAGACAATTTAAAGACGCTCCATAATAATTTTCCGGAGCTGCCACTGTGATGTTATCTGAAAATAGCCTAAAAATTTTTTAATATTTTTTTTTTCAGATTTCTTTAAGACTATTTTAAGATTTTTCAAGACTATATAAAAATTATTTTAAAACTTAAATCTTAAAATAGTCTTAGAAAAATCTAAAATCGCCTTGAAAAAATCTTAAAATAGTCTTAAGAAAATCAAAATAATTGTTAAAAAATCTCGGAATTTTTTTTTTTTGGCATTTTAAAAGAGTCTTAAAATAGTCTTAGTTTGTGTCACGTTTAAGATCTTAAACGAACGACAATTTTAAGACAATTTTAAGACGATTTTTTTTACACGGGTATTCATAAATCAAATTTGTCATTAATATTTGGTGGGCAAACTTTTTTTTAATAAGAAAAATTGAAAAAAATTTTTAAATGTTAGTTACTGTGTTTTGAAATTGGGCAGCCGAACTGGTAAAATGTATATTTTTACTGTTGTAAAAGTATAATTTTTACTGTTTGAAATGTTAAATTCTCCCAGAGTGAGACCCTCTTCTCTTTCATCTGAGTTCCCCTTCTCCTCATAATATGGACTATATATTGAAATGGCAATTTTTACTGTTTGAAACTGTAATTTTTTAAGATAAGAGAGTCGTTATTTATTATAGCGACAGCTACTAATCACTTATTTTGGATATTAAATTATAGACTGTGGCTTTTATACTTTCTACATTAAGTTCTGTGATATTTATATTTCTGCCACCTCGATGTCCGCTTTACTGTTTGAAACTATAAAAATTAACCGGAATCCGAATGAAAATTACAGTTTACTTTTTTCCGCGTAAACTTTTTTACTAAATTTATGTCGATAATACAACGCAAAGAGATAATAAGTACAAAAAATAATAAATTTTCAGAGAAAGAAATACAAAATTATAAATAATTATCAGAAAAAGAAATATCCAATTAAATACTCGCATTTTCCAATACATTTGTTAAGCATATTAACCATTAAGGTTTCTTGTTCAGTAGCTTAACTTTTTTTTATAACAATTTATTATTACAATCTATAGTTTTCATATCAATAGTAGATAAGGAGTTTGTTATAATATTTAATTGCTACGTAATAAGCATTTTGTGTACTAATAGTTTTGTTAATTTTTGGTAGTACTATATATAGCAACTTAGATCTTGTATTTGTAACTTTTTCTGAGTACAGGCTTTTATATTCTTGATTGTAGTAAGTTAGTGCATTTATTATAAATCTCTTATTGCCAAGGGCGTAGTGTTGTAATTATTTATACATAGCTTTTTATTTTTTTTTTTTCTTAATTTGTTTAAAGTCGCATAAACTACTAAGGTCATGAGCGACTACGGTAGGGGGTAAACTTTTGAGATTGGAACTCGTTTTATTTCTTGGGCTGAGCAGTATAATACACTTAAATATTGAAAATATTCATTGGTGTACGCTGTGGTAAGCAAGGGCCGGATCCGATAGGCTACTGCGCGCCCTAGCTTTTTATTTTATATTGAAAATATTTTAATTAAGTTAATAATTTTTAAGATCATCTTCTTAATTCTTAAACTGAGAATTTTTTCTTGATTCTATAACTTTTCGTCTTGATTCAAGATAACGAAACTTATTCGAAATTATTTTCTTTCTTCAAGAATTTTTTTCGTGATTTAAATTAATTTATTTTAGTGTTCATCAAAAAATTGATTTGATTTATAAAAAAATTCTTGAATAAAGAAAATTTATTTTAAATTAATTAAACTTGTTATTAAAAATTTTAAGTCTTGTTTAAATTATTTTTTTTTTGCTACTCGTGAAAAATTAATTATTAAGTACAAAAAAAAAAAAAAAAAACATTGAATCACTGTAAAGTAAAAAGTGGTACTGTCTGTAGAATAACATAAGTAGCTCTGTAAAATTTCTTAAAAATGCGAGCGACATAAAAATAATGCAAGAAAGTAGAGTATTTAGTATATATTTTTACACGCCTAATAACAAAAAGACTTTTATTGTTTTTTATTACTACATCATCACATAGTTGTATGTAGCGTTTGTCTGCCCTGAGGCGTATAAATACCCGACGCTTTCCCATGCGGCTCTGTTTATAATTAATTTGTCAATTAATTCGAGCTCTTTGGTATATGAACACCGCCGGGTTAACGGTCCATAGTGAGCCTTCAGGGTGGCCCGGGCTGGAATACAAATAGCTGGTACTCCGATCAACAACTATATAGAATACTCATCGATAAATATTGGCTGTCCTCATAACACTAATAGTTAATAAAATTATTCCTATAAGTTTAATTTGAATTTTAGACCCAGACTGAGAAAAATTGGTTTCTAATTATCCAAAATTACAATAAAAAAGTATAAATTTTGGTAATATATATCTCGTGTTCTAAAAAAAATACTCAGTTGAACAAAAAAAATGTTTTTTATTAATTAAAAATTTTGAATAGATAATAAAAAGACTGACTAAGATAATTATTTATAGTTCAAGGTAATTTTTGAGTTCTAGAAGCAAAACTAATTTGATTGGCCGAAGTATAATATACTCTTCCTTGATGCAAGAAAATTTTATTCCGTTAGAATAAAAGTTTTTTTAAGAAAAAAAGCTAAATTTTTGTGTAATAATAGATTTTCTTGATATCTTGTGAACTATTGACATTTTTAAAGATATAAGCTCATCCTGACATTGCACTCATCGAGACCTTTCATTTGAGTACCCACACCAATTTTTCATATATTTTATATATTTATATATATATATATGTATATATGAAAAATATATCAAAAATGCATGTGGGTACTCAAATGAAAGCTCTTCATGAGTGTAACATCAGGATGAGCTTATATCTTTAAAATATACATATATTTATAAATATACATATATGTATATATGAAAAATGCATGTAGGTACTCAAATGAAAGCTCTTGATGAGCGTTACATCGAGATGAGCTTTTATTTAAAAAAACGTCAACAGCTAAGAAAGTACAGTGCAATTTAACAAAAGTAATTATTCAATAAAGCAAATTTCATTTATTTATATACAAGTCACGGCAGTCACATAGTGACTGCAACTAGTAATTATGAATTAAAAATTTTATTTCAACAGACCAGTTTTTCAATCAATCAGTCACTCCATTTTTTCCAGTAAGCCATTAAGGAATAAAAGAGATTTTTTACTATCTATAAAAAAGGTCTACTTTATCATAAAAAAATCACGATAAAAAATAGCGGTATTATTAAAAAATGCCTAAGCTATAATAACGGAATAAAATCAGTAGCTAAAATATAGTGACGGTTTTGAGTATATATCGCGTAAAGGTGAATGTGAACATACAGGATATAGGAACCTTTTTATAGGCATGGTAGGTTTTAGAGATTTATTCCATTATGAGCAGACCGATGAATGTTGGTAAGGTAAATGGGCCCTATCACTGTCGCGTTAACAAAGCCCACCACTGACGTGGTTATGACGGCAGCGACAGCAACAGGATACTTCTAGTCCTGACAGGACGCGGGTTTGAGGAGGGGTAGAGGGTGCTCTTGAAATAATCATTATTCATGTGCAATAATGATGATAATGGAAGGGAAGAGGGCCTGTACTTCGGTATAACTGCGACCGAGATTTTTTTTTTTTTAATGAATAGAAATTCTCTCTCGTCTCTCGTGGTTCTTGCTCGTATGCATCATCGAATCTGAATATGGATTTTTTCATTCACTTGGCTCTTTGTCGAGCTGTCTCCACCCACTGTCATATTACTCCTTATTACTCCTGGGACGAGTAGAGTAGAGTTCTCTCCCTCATTTATACGCAGAAAGCTTATGCGTTTCTTTCCTTTCTCTTTTTTATTATTCTTCACATTGTTTCTACGATAGGTACTAGCTTATTGTTATATTATTTACCTTTGATTACAATAAATAAATAAACTTGTATTATTATTCTGTTTATACTAAACATTTTTCGTCTTGTTATTTATTATTTTTATAATGGAACCAAGATAGCCAATATATTGCAATGTTTATTCCGATATTGCATGATCGAGGACTCTATATAAATCGGCAAAGCGGCT